CATTTTTGCGTACTGGAACTGCATCTGCCGTCTTCCACAGGGAGGTATATGTCACAGGAAGGTATATATGCTCTCCACGAACAACTGTTGAAGTGTGACCGGTTGCTGCCTATATCGATATAATATAAGATTCGGTCTAGGAGCCGGTATGTCTGGCAGGCTTGGCCGGATACCTGGCTAATTACCAGACGGCAGTGAATCAGTGCTGACCTAATTAGTCTGATCTCCTCCTTCCACACACACACACACACACACACACACACACACACACACACACACACACACACACACATGTGTGTGTGTGTCTCTTATGCGGAAAGAGAGGGAAGGAAGAGGTGGGGGTGGTGTAGCTCTGCTGGTAAGAAAAGGCTGGGATTTTGAGGAGATGGATATTCAGGGCTGTGAAGGTTTCAGTGACTACATAGCAGGTACTGTAACAAATGGAGGGAAAAAAATTATAGTCGCAGTCATATATAATCCACCACCAAATGACAGAAGACCTAGACAGGAATATGATAGAAACAACATGGCCACCATTAACATAATAGAAAGAGCAGCTTCTGTTGCTAGCAGGAATGGATCTGGACTACTAATTATGGGAGACTTCAACCATGGGAAGATAGATTGGAAGAACAGAGACCCGCATGGAGGACCAGAAACATGGAGAGCTAAGCTGCTGGACGTGGCAACAAGAAACTTTCTAAGCCAGCATACCAAAGAGCCAACAAGAATGAGAGGAGAAGATGAACCAGCAATGCTTGATTTGATATTTACCCTAAATGAATGGGATATAAGGGAAGTTAAGATGGAAGCGCCCTTGGGAATGAGTGACCACAGTGTATTGAACTTTGAGTACCTGGTAGAGCTAGGACTTATCTCCCCCCAAAAAGAACTAGGAATCAAAAGGCTGGCATACCGAAAGGGGAATTATGAACAGATGAGAAGTTTCCTAAGTGAAATACCTTGGGACACAGACCTCAGAGACAAGTCTGTACAGGGTATGATGGACTATGTTACCCAAAAGTGTCAGGAGGCAGTAAACAGGTTCATCCCGGCCCAAAGGGAAAAATCCGAGAAGCAACAAAAGAATCCATGGTATAATAGGGCATGTATGGAAGCGAAGAAACTGAACAAAAAGGCGTGGAGGAACTTCCGGAATAACAGAACACCAGAAAGCAGGGAGAGATACCAGAGAACCAGGAATGAGTACGTCAGGGTGAGAAGAGAAGCAGAGAAAATTTTTGAAAATGATATAGCAAACAAAGCCAAGACCGAACCAAAGCTACTCCACAGTCACATCAGAAGGAAAACAACAGTGAAAGAACAGGTATTGAAACTTAGAACAGGCGAGGACAGGTATACAGAGAATGACAGAGAGGTGTGTGAGGAACTCAACAAGAGGTTCCAGGAGGTCTTCACAATAGAACAGGGTGAGGTCATTGTGCTAGGAGAAAGGGAGGTAAACCAGGCGGCCTTGGAGGAGTTCGAAATTACGAGAGAGGAGGTCAAGAGACACCTGCTGGATCTGGATGTTAGAAAGGCGGTTGGTCCAGATGGGATCTCACCATGGGTACTGAAAGAGTGTGCAGAGGCACTTTGCTTGCCACTCTCCATAGTGTATAGTAAATCACTAGAGACGGGAGACCTACCAGAAATATGGAAGACGGCGAATGTGGTCCCAATATACAAAAAGGGCGACAGACAAGAGGCACTGAACTACAGGCCAGTGTCCTTGACTTGTATACCATGCAAGGTGATGGAGAAGATCGTGAGAAAAAACCTGGTAACACATCTGGAGAGAAGGGACTTCGTGACAAATCGCCAACATGGATTCAGGGAGGGTAAATCTTGCCTTACAGGCTTGATAGAATTCTACGATCAGGTGACACAGATTAAGCAAGAAAGAGAGGGCTGGGCGGACTGCATTTTCTTGGATTGTCGGAAAGCCTTTGACACAGTACCGCATAAGAGGCTGGTACATAAGCTGGAGAGACAGGCAGGTGTAGCTGGTAAGGTGCTCCAGTGGATAAGGGAGTATCTAAGCAATAGGAAGCAGAGAGTTACGGTGAGGGGTGAGACCTCCGATTGGCGTGAAGTCACCAGTGGAGTCCCACAGGGCTCTGTACTCGGTCCTATCTTGTTTCTGATATATGTAAATGATCTCCCGGAGGGTATCGATTCATTTCTCTCAATGTTTGCGGACGATGCTAAAATTATGAGAAGGATTAAAACAGAAGAGGACTGTTTGAGGCTTCAAGAAGACCTAGACAAGCTGAAGGAATGGTCGAACAAATGGTTGTTAGAGTTTAACCCAACCAAATGTAATGTAATGAAGATAGGTGTAGGGAGCAGGAGGCCAGATACAAGGTATCATCTGGGAGAGGAAATTCTTCAGGAGTCAGAGAAGGAAAAAGACTTGGGGGTTGATATCACGCCAGACCTGTCTCCTGCAGCACATATCAAGCGGATAACATCAGCGGCATATGCCAGGCTGGCCAACATACGAACGGCATTCAGAAACTTGTGTAAAGAATCATTCAGAACTTTGTATACCACATATGTCAGGCCAATCCTGGAGTATGCAGCCCCAGCATGGAGTCCATATCTAGTCAAGGATAAGACTAAACTGGAAAAGGTTCAAAGGTTTGCCACCAGACTAGTACCCGAGCTGAGAGGTATGAGCTACGAGGAGAGACTACGGGAATTAAACCTCACTTCGCTGGAAGACAGAAGAGTTAGGGGGGACATGATCACCACATTCAAGATTCTGAAGGGGATTGATAGGGTAGATAAAGACAGTCTATTTAACACAAGGGGAACACGCACAAAGGGACACAGGTGGAAACTGAGTGCCCAAATGAGCCACAGAGATATTAGAAAGAACTTTTTTAGTGTCAGAGTGGTTGACAAATGGAATGCATTAGGGGGTGATGTGGTGGAGGCTCACTCTATACACAGTTTCAAGTGTAGATATGACAGAGCCCGATAGGCTCAGGAATCTGTACACCTGTTGATTGACGGTTGAGAGGCGGGACCAAAGAGCCAGAGCTCAACCCCCGCAAACACAACTAGGTGAGTACAACTAGGTGAGTACACACACACACACACACACACGCACGAGGCAGAAACAAATGGGCAAAGTTTCTTTCACCCTGAATGCCCCTGTTACCTAGCAGTAAATAGGTACCTGGGAGTTAGTCAGCTGTCACGGGCTGCTTCCTGGGGTGGGTGTGTGTGTGTGTGTGTGTGGTGTGGGGAAAAAAAAAAAGTAGTAAACAGTTGATTGACAGTTGAGAGGCGGGCCGAAAGAGCAAAGCTCATCCCCCGTAAAAACACAACTAGTAAACACACACACACACACACACACACACACACACACACACACACACACACACACACACACACACACACACACACACGGGGTCACAGACACTACATGACGGGGTCTGATAGCTGAGTGGACAGCGCACGGGACTCTTAATCCTGTGGCCAGGGTTTGATTTCCGGACTAAGCAGAAACAAAATGGGCAGTTTCTTTCACCCTGATGCCCATGTTACCTAGCAGTAAATAGATACCTGGGAGTTAGACAGCTGTTACGGGCTGCTTCCTGGATATGTGTGTGCGTGTGTGTGTGTGTGTGAAAAACAAAATTAGTAACAGTTGATTGATTGGCAGTTGAGAGGCGGGCCGAATGAGCAGAGCTCAACCCCCGCAAGTACAACTAGGTGAATACAACTAGGTGAGTACACACACTCCCGATGACACCATTTTACCCTGCGCCACGTTATATGCGCATAACAATTTATCACCACAAAACATAAGCTACTTTTTGCTCAGCAAGTTCGGTGCACTGAAAGGTTTCCACGCACAGATCAATAACCGGTTTCCACCGCGCGATAATTAAGGGAACATGAACTAACCGGCCTACAAAGATTCGAACGATCTCACATTTCGAAATTGAACGCAGATGTGCTGGCTCATATTAATATGTTAATCAAATCATAACGCCAGCATGGATTGGGGTCCAGGCTGGTTGTGGAGGGTGTTGGTGATACTGTGGTGGTGTTGTGTGGTAGAGGCACTGTGTGGTGGTAGTGGTGGTCGTGCTGTGTGGTAGTGGTGGAGTGAAGTCTGTCAGGAAGTATTGCGTGAGCGGATGGTTACTGTGTGTACGTTAGCAGTGAGGGGAAGGAAGGGAGAGACGGAGAGGGAAGGTAGAGAGAGAGAGAGAGAGGAGCCATACCAGAAGGTGTGACTGCTCATCTTCTCTCATTCTTCGTATATAACGAAACAGATTGGTGCATGAAGCAGCCTAGCACAACCCTCACAGCTGCTCAGTTTGGTCTCTTATCACCAACAAGGATTTAGGTAAAAAATGGGTTCAGGAACTGAACCCCATAGTTCGTTTAGCTATGCAAGTGAGAATCTTGTGACGCTAGTTACACAGTTATTAATGTTGCGTACACATGTAATATATATATATATATATATATATATATATATATATATATATATATATATATATATATATATATATATATATATATATATATATATATATTACATGTGACTGTTGTGAGCCTCGTTGAATCACGTGATATAAAACGATTATTGAGATGTATATATGTTTGTGTAAATGATTGTATATATATATATATATATATATATATATATATATATATATATATATATATATATATATATATATATATATATATATATATATACAATCATTTACACAAACATATATACATCTCAATAATCGTTTTATATCACGTGATTCAACGAGGCTCACAACAGTCACCTCACATCTATGGTGAGTCACACAGTTACTAGTCTTGCTCCACACCCACCTAACTGGGCGGCAGCTTTACAGTCATGTGCAGGCTGCACCTACAGTCAGCAAACTTTGGATACTTCGTTAAGATTCCCGGCAGTACATCATTTCTTAGACTCCATCGTTACTTACTTATTTTACTACTCCATTTTAAGTACTTACATTTCTTGGACTCCATTGAGGGTCTCATCTCTGAATTCCGAAATTTTTTCACATTCCATTATATAATGACGCAAAGTATGCTAATAGTTCTGCTGACAGAGCTTACATTTAGTCAAATCTACATCAGCAGATGTTACAAACTGCCAGAGGTACTTGTAGCCGAACCTAAGCCTAGCAGTGGTAACATCTAGAAGTCTGCTAACATTATTGGATGACCCATAGACGTGCGGTTCTTCCTGCATAATAGAATGATGATAGATGGAGTAACAGGTGTGACTGTCACTTTGCCTCAAGTCTGTTAGATATTGTTGATGTTCCCGGAATATTGCTGCCCTCAGGCTGCTCAAAGACAGTCCAAGATGGTAACCAATTCCTTCTTTATGAGCAAAAGTCTTGGCCAACTCATCAGTTCTGTCGTGCATTTGGAGACCAATATGGGAAGGACAATAGAGAGATGGGCAGACAGCATTTTCCTAGACTGTCAGAAAGCATGTGATACTGTCCCACACAAGCGAGTGGCAGAGACGTGGAATGAGGTTGACCCAGAAAAGGCACATATGATGCAGAGCTTCAAGAACAAGTGTGCCATTAGAGCATCAAGGGGGCATGAATGTATCGGGTGACATAAGCAGATACTACACAACTACACAACCACCACCAAATATACACACAAACGCCAGAAAATAAAATTACGCCCAGATGCGTCAATACGTCACTGTTAACCTGGCTTTCACTGTCATTCATCTCTCTCTATATCAGACGTTAAGTTCACGGGGACACAACTGGAAGAGTGTGATGGAAATGGTTACAAATAAATCTTTAGATATTTCGAAACGAATAACAGAGGTTAAAGAACTAAGGAACAAGAAAGAACAGGAAAGATGGGAACTAAGAACACGGAATATGGGATGAAGACGTTAAGTCTCAAGTCCCCTCCCCCCTGTTAATACAGAAGGGGGACAAGGGGGACTTGAACTCCCCCCCCCCTTGGAAATACAGGAGGGAGGGAGGAGGGGGGGACTGGAGAGAGGGGAATGACCTGGGAGGGGGGTTGGAAAGAGGGGACTTGCTAGGTAGACAGAGAAGTGAGGGGAGAGCAGGAGGGGGGGAAGGGGTGGGGGGGGGAAGTGCCGGTCAATGTCCAATAGTAGCCAGTAGTCGGTGGTGGACACCCCCCACACGCACACTGGCTCAGTGTCCTGTCGGGTCCTCGCCACACCACCACCACCACAACCACCTCCGCCACACCACCACAACTTCTCAGCAGGTACCCCTGGTTGTTGTTTTTGTAACTCAGGAGAGCTATGGTTGTATACAGGTGTTATTACCGGGGCAGGATGGTGCTGTAGTGGTTGTGATCGAGTTAATATTTAAGGTGGGTGACATTTTTGGTTGTGAAGGTGTTGTTGATGGTTAGTGATGTAACTCCGGTGGTGTTACCGGCTGTAGTCACGTTGTCCAGGTGGTATAAACCTTAAACCAACTGATGCAGGGGAACTGTGTGAGTGAGCGCACTCACAGGTGTGAGAGGTGACGTGAGTGCATGTGTAGGTCGTGGATGTGTAGGTCGTGGATGTGTTGGTCGTGCATGTGTGTGGATCGTGCATGTGTGTGTGTGTCGTGCATGTGTGGGTCGTACATGTGTAGGTTGTACATGTGTAGTAGGTCGTACATGTGTGGGTCGTGCATACTCTTCTTGGCAGCTCCTGCACCACAAGCTCCAACGAATTACTGTGAACAACCATTACAGAATTCGACGAAATCGTTAGTAAGAATTTAAGTCGCCATTTGATTGGGGATAATCGGGCCTCAGGGGAGGAAAATATCGGCCCCCAGTTACTCAGACCTATCAGAAGGGTACAAAAAAAAAGGCGGAAAAAACCCAACTAGCAACATACAATTATTTGATGACTTTCCATTGACCCAGAGGGAAGATTACAGACCAGGTAGACGACTAAGTTACGCACCAATCACTTCACCCAATCCTCCGTCACTCTCTACACTGCAGGCATAGTTAATCGTAGGTTGAGGTGTGACACCCTTATAACCAAGTCCCTAGCGCCATAGTATTTACGGGCTATTCATGCCCGTGCCACCTCTTGGGTGACTTAATCTGTATCAATCAATCACCAATCATAGCGCATACTCCTGATGATGCCACAGTGTTGACGAAACGTATAATAAATCAAATTGAAAGATTAATAACAGATTGAGTGTTTCTTCGCCCTTTAGATGGTAGAAGGTGTTTACGTAGATTGGAAAATATTCCTAAGGATATTAAGAATCGTCGCAATGCTGTTGTTTTATCACGTGTGAGTAAAATATAATATATATATATATATATATATATATATATATATATATATATATATATATATATATATATATATATATATATATATATATATATATATATATGTTATATGTGTGTATATTACGAAAATAATACGAAAACAGTATGTTATATATATATATATATATATTTTATTAAATATGACCGAAAAAGTAAGATTAATAATTCTAACACGAATTTTCTCAATCTTTCGTACATTATGCTTCACTGTTGGAGGTAAATCAAAAATCACTTCTCCAAAATTCATTTTTATTTCTAGTCTGACGCGACACGGGCGCGTTTCGTAAAACTTATTACATTTTCAAAGACTTCACAAATACACAACTGATTAGAACTTGCATTTCCCTGATTTTATATCTACTTTTGAGTGAGGTGGGAAGGGTGATGTGGCATTACATTTGAGTGAGGTGGGAAGGATGATGTGGCATTAGAGGATATTAATAGGGTATTAAAAGTATCAACACAAGACAGAACACGAAACAATGGATATTGAATAGAAGTGTTTGTAGAAAGCCTATTGGTCCATATTTCTTGATGCTTCTATATTGGAGCGGAGTCTTGTGCACAACTATATTCTACCCACCTCAAGACTCCGCTCCAATATAGAAGCATCAAGAAATATGGACCAATAGGCTTTCTACAAACACTTCTATTCAATATCCATTGTTTCGTGTTCTGTCTTGTGTTGATACTTTTAATACCCTATTAATATCCTCTAATGCCACATCAGCCTTCCCACCTCACTCAAATGTAATGCCACATCACCCTTCCCACCTCACTCAAAAGTAGATATAAAATCAGGGAAATGCAAGTTCTAATCAGTTGTGTATTTGTGAAGTCTTTGAAAATGTAATAAGTTTTACGAAACGCGCCCGTGTCGCGTCAGACTAGAAATAAAAATGAATTTTGGAGAAGTGATTTTTGATTTACCTCCAACAGTGAAGCATAATGTACGAAAGATTGAGAAAATTCGTGTTAGAATTATTAATCTTACTTTTTCGGTCATATTTAATAAAATATGTCTACAGGAAAGACTGCTACCAAAATATACTAATATATATATATATAGATATATATGTATTATATAATATATATATATTATAGTGTGTGTTTTTCAGAATAAAATACTGCAGTTAATAATGACAAAATGGGATCAAAATTGCCGAATATTAAGGTTGAGGCTCCAGTAGTCAGAGAGACAGGGCCCACCATCTCCAGGTTCCCGGCGTCTCTCAGAGAACGGCCCGGTCTCTCTCAGGGGAAATCACGAGTCGCATAATAACATCTACGAGAGAGAGAAATAGTGAAGGCAGAGATAGCAAGTTGGTAATTGCGTGTCGGCTTGTGATATCAACAAAGACTCCGTGCTGCTCAGCATCTGGCGGGCTCTATCAAGATATCCCTGACTGACTGTGTCGCGAAGAGGCCCATGATAACCTTACACAACAGAACATCAACTTTAACTAACGATTTTCTACAATAATTAATGATTACGTGCGCTGGAATTTCCTTTTTGATGCATCGTGACTCCCATTTGATTAGGCTATCAGTTAACTTTAATGTCACTCTGGGTCATAAGCTTGATGACGGCTTCTGTTGCAGTAATGGTTTAGTCAATTGTTGCAGACAATTTGCAAACATGATCTCGGCTTCGGAAAAGCTTGGAGTTGCTTTACGAGTCTGGTGGATTAGTTGTGGAAGGAGGCCGTCGGGACAATAAAAGTTTGCAGGCAGAAGTCTCGTACCTGATCATTACCTCTTGTTGTACCAGCAGCCTGGTTATCAAAGGATATATAATATATAATATATATATATATTCACCTAGAGGTGAGCGCAGCTTCTTGGTTTACCGTGTTCGGGAGTAATGTATACTGACTGATATACTGTATACTGTCAGTGAGCTGCTGCTGTAGCCTTGATGACCTTCCAGAGGTTGATGGGTCAACACCAGCCCAAGAACTGTTCCCACTATAATGATCAGAGAATTTTATAAAAGGACCAAAATATAGATTTTTACGACTTGTCAAATTCAAGCCAAAAAATACATCAGGCTTTTGTGGGGTTGTATCACGTGAAATATTTTGTTTAGCTTGGCAGAGTTTCGTATTTCTTTTATCCCGAATGTTGAAATATGATCAAAATGATCTTGGGAAGCTTCAGCCAGTGTGAGACAGGAAGCTTAGAGCCTCGACTGTTCCACAAGATCATAGACGTTATATTATTATATAGTAACAGAGGAAAGCGCCAAGCCATTATGATTATATAACACTGGGAAGGTATCAGGATAAGGAATGGGACGGGGGAAGGAATGGTATACAACCACTTGGACAGTCGGGGATTGAACATCGACCTGCATAAAGCTAGACCGTCGCTCTACCGTTCAGCCCAAGTGGTTAGGCAGACCATAGGCGTTTTTTTAATATAAAACATATCTCTGTTTAGTCATTCACTTTGACTAATCCATAGAGCGACGGCCTCGCTTCTTGCAGGTCGCTGCTCGATCCCCGATGGTGTAAGTGGTTGCGCACAGCGTTTTCTACTGATAAATACCTGTGTTTAGCATGACTATCTGGCGAGCTTGAAGTGTTGGTCTCTTGGCTCTGGGGTGCTCTGGGCCTCGCCTGGTGGGGGGACACAGGAGCAGCACCCACTGACTAGAGTATGCTGACTCTAACACACTAGAAAACCGGACATTATTCTTCGTGTCTCGAACTGATCACTGAGTGGACCATTTGAGTCTACACCATTACAAGCTTCAAGCCGCCCCCTCCATGGCTACCAGAGCCATCACCAAAATACGAGGAATTAGGAGAATTGTGTTCTGCATTGAGCGTTCACATCCATATTCAGAAATATATATATATTATTTTAATTTTTCAGATGAAGATGTCTGGAGCGTACCCCGCCCCGCCCGCCTCCACCACCAGGGGCGCCGGCTTCCCCAGCAGCGCTGCCCTAGTGGGAGGCGGTCCCTCCCTGCCCTCCTGGGTGCTGGAGCAGAAGGAAGCTGCTAGGATCGCCCACCGGCGCCGTCTGCTGCAGGAGCGAGCTGTCCGGATCCACCAGCCCCGAGCCACCTCCATAGCGGTGAGTCCTCTGGCCTTACTCATCGCCTCTCGCCTTTACTCACCGTCACGTTGCCTTATTCATCAGCGAGTCTTTTGCTGAAGTAACCACACACACAGTTTGGTGTGGTCTCGCCATATTGATCGCCAAGCAATGTGGCGAGGGTTAAGGCTGTGACAATAACTTACGCACCAACCAACAAATACTTCACATGTCTACGTTATCCAAGACAAAGGTAATATATATATTATAATAATAATAATATACACACAAACATATTTGTTAGAGAGCGTCTCCAAGGTAGCGTAGGCAGCGCTCCAAGACGCCTCGCGCCAGCCAGCCTGACTAAAAGGGCGCGCGGGGCCGATCACTCAAGGGGAAATTTTTCAATTTTCAAAATTTCTTTCTTTATTATGCACCCCCAAACTTATCCCGTGGGCGGTGGTGGAAAGGGTTACAGAAGTACATAATGGGTTCAGGAACTGAGCCCATTATGTACATAATATGGATGCATAATGGAATGTTGATAGATGGAGTAACAGGTGTGAATTTCACTTTGCCTCAAGTCTATTAGATATTGTTGATGTTCTCGGAATATTACTGCCCTCAGGCTGCTCAAAGACAGTCCAAGATGGTAACCAATTCCCTCTTTATGAACATAAGTCTTGGCCAACTGATCAGTTCTACCATGCACTCGGAGACCAATATGGGGAAGGAATCCACAGGAGGAAGCAAATATTATCCTTATGAAGTAGAGGCTGGAAGTTGAAGCGTCGTCAGGTGAGCACTAATTAATGAGGCTTAAGCCCAGGTAGTGACCTACATTCCTCACTCGGGTGGCTCTGGCAACCAATCAGCTTGCGCTCCTCCACGTATATGGAGAGCCAATAAGATGGGTTCTTGGCGAGCCATACATTCATTTTCGTTAGATCTGAGCTCTGTTATCATGTCCTGTCTGCGTGCCTGTCTGCCTCGAAGGTCTTATTGCAGCAGACTTGCAGTTATTATCGCTATTTTATTCACGTTGGATTTAATAGTTTTTTGGCGCCATGTGTACCTTGCAACACGGTTTGCTAATAGGTTTACAACCAGGTTCCCAATATATGCTGGGTGCACCGTGCACAGGAGTGAACAGTCGAAGGAACGGTGCCCCCACATCCCCCTATACCCTCGATGAACCCTCGAATAGGGTTCGAACCCAGGTCATCTCACTTGTCTGACGCGTGGATGAAACTGCTACACAGTCGTCAAACGAGTTCAGTAAACTCTTTCCGAAATCAATCAATTATTTAAATCTATAACTAATATCACATTTAAAGTTATATGAAGCCAAAAATCCGATTGCTGTTAAACTGAGATAAATTATAGAGAATTATCTAGCATAAAATTACAAGCTTTAGTGTACTAATTTCTTAGCTTGAATCGATCATTTTTCAGCAGTGGGAGTTTCATTTTGACTCTATCACAAAACTTTCAAGTAAATCGTCCTTAGGGAAATGTTTCTCTCAGCTAATGACGATAGTTATCGTTATCTCTCAACCAGTGACGATAGCGTTTATCTGTGAAAAACACAGAACTTAGTTTAGAGCTGAGGTTGGGTGGTGGGGAGAGCGGGAGACTAACTGTCCCCGGTTCACCAGGTTGTGGTACTGGGGATAAGAGCCACACGGAGCTTAGTGGAGCGGTACAGTTGTTAGTGGGAATATTGTCGTGGGTTGCGTCTTGGTGCTTTGTCCACACACACAAAGGTTATTTTAGCGTTTTGCGTCCCTTTTCAGGTGTGTGTTTTGCGTCCCTTTCCTAGTGGGGTGAGGTATAGTGTAATGCTGAACGCCGTCGGCTCCAACCAGCTTAGTTAGATTACCGGACGAGACAACAATGTTTTGGGCATTTAAATTAAATTACAATACAAATTAAGATTTATATTGTAATTTAACTATTAACCGATTATACCAAAGGAGTATTAAAAGTCAAATTGTATTGGGCATTGTTATTCATTCCAAGTCCCCATGGTCGAAATAAGAGCTCCAGATATCGTAAGAGGGGGTAGAGCGCTCTGTGACTCTCGGCTCTGACGTAGAGCACTGGCTTCTTAATAACAAGCCTGGGAGCTCTGGACTTGTCAAGACCCACTTACGACTCGTCACAACAAGGGACTTGAGAAGGTAAATGACGGGAGATAAACTTAGATCTGACGTCGTCAACAAACATTGACTTTATCCACTCCAAGCTCCTAAGTGTTACCACTGAGACAGGCACTCTGGCGCACGGAAGGGTCCGTAGTGTGTATAGAGTGCATGCACCGGTGTATACAGAGTGGCTGCAGTGAATTACTGTTGTATTTGGCTCGCCTAATTAGAGGTGCGTCGTCAGTCTGTTGTGAAGTGTTGAGGATATTCACCGGGATCCTGCACCTAAGTGCTCTCATGTGCTCCACCGAGTGACACACGAACATAATTACCTAAAATATTAGCTAATTTGTCTAGACTGCTTCTCTAGTGTCTTGCTCAGTTTGAAGAATAATGTGATCCACTTGCAGAGCTGTATAGATGGTTGTGTATACATTATACCACCGTCTACAGGATGGGTCTGTGAGCCTCCACCGTCCACAGGTTGGGTCTGTGAGCCTCCACCGTCCACAGGATGGGTCTGTGAGCCTCCACCGTCTATAGGATGAGTCTGGGTAGCCTCCACCGTCCACAAGATGGGTCTGGGTAGCCTCCACCGTCCACAGGATGGATCTGTGAGCCTCCACCGTCCACAGGATGGGTCTGTGAGCCTCTACCGTCTACAGGATGGGTCTGGGTAGCCTCCACCGTCTACAGGATGGGTCTGTGAGCCTCCACCGTCCACAGGATGGGTCTGTGAGCCACCACCGTCTACAGGATGGGTCTGTGAGCCACCACCGTCCACAGGATGGGTCTGGGTAGCCTCCACCGTCCACAGGATGGGTCTGTGAGCCACCACCGTCCACAGGATGGGTCTGGGTAGCCTCCACCGTCCACAGGATGGGTCTATGAGCCTCCACCGTCCACAGGATGGGTCTGTGAGCCTCCACCGTCCACAGGATGGGTCTTGGTAGCCTCCACCGTCCACAGGATGGGTCTGTGAGCCTACACCGTCTACAGGATGGGTCTGTGAGCCTCCACCGTCCACAGGATGGGTCTTGGTAGCCTCCACCGTCCACAGGATGGGTCTGTGAGCCTACACCGTCTACAGGATGGGTCTGTGAGCCACCACCGTCCACAGGATGGGTCTGTGAGCCTCCACCGTCTACAGGATGGGTCTGTGAGCCTCCACCATCCACAGGGTGGGTGTACGGATACCCACAATCATCAAATTAAATATATATATTTCGTGGTGCAGGTGGACGTGGAGGGACTGTCCCAGCAGGTCGAGGAGCGCCGCCGTCAGGAGGACGGCGCCCGCCGCACCGAGGAGGAATTTGGTCGTCTGGCAGCGACGCAGGACAGAGCCGCACTTCTCATACAGCACCAGGAAGACAAGGTTGGTGAAGACATTCGTCTTGGCTTCTATATTCTAGTATCTTCAGTTATCTTCCTGTCTCTATTTCTCTGCCTGTGTTAATGTGCCTCATTCTTTCTCAAGCACCTCCTTCATAGGTGTCTCAGCTGCGGAAGCCTTCAAAATGTGTCAAAATCAATTTTGAATTCTCAAAATTCTTCCCAATTCAGCCAGTGGTGTTTTTTTCCATATGCAATGAAGCATCTGTAAAACTTATTATGGAATCTGACCAGCAATGTGTCGCCGGGGAGAGACGCAACTCTGCCATGACACTATTTTGCCAATATATTGCAAATTGCATTACTGGGCACGTCATTTAATTACCCCTGCAAAGTGTTGGAGGGAGAGGAGAGAGTGAGTAGGTGTGAGAGAACAGGTGAGAGTGAACAGAGTGTTAGGGAGAGTGAAAGTAATCAACCCACACACACACACTGTTAGGCTAGGTTAGGCCTCGATTTAGGTAGCTTAGAATTTTATTTTAGTTTTGCCTCCATTTAAACGAAAACAAATTCCGTTCTCTTTTTTCTGTTTTTTTTTATTTAGAAAGTTTTCTATTATTATTTAAATATCACTTCAGAAAGGAACGTTTCAATATATATATATATATATACAACTTTAGAACACTTTCTAAAGTTCTATATATATACACTATATATATATATATATATATATATATATATATATATATATATATATATATATATATATATATATATATATAATATAGCACAAACATGTGGCTGGGATAGATTATTGCGTTGACTAGAGCGGTCAGAATGTTGTGAAACCGTACATGTGTTCCCTTCGTCAGGAGCGTGAGGGCAGACGAGACGACCTGCTGAGGTACTGGCGGGAGGAGCAGAGGCCAGAGCGACGCCGGGAACACGACCTCAACTCCCACCAGCACCTCGCCTCCTCCCTCTACCAGCTTGAGTGAGTACTGCTAGACGACGTGACTGTATATGTCGTGCAGGCTGTCTGTGAGGCGCCCTGTTGCTTGTACTGCTAGACGACGTGACTGTATGTGTCGTGCAGGCTGTCTGTGAGGCGCCCTGTTGCTTGTACTGCTAGACGACGTGACTGAGGCTAGTAAGAACCAGGTGTCATTCAGCTACCAGACGATGCGTGCGATTGTCTAGTTAATGTGCATAGTAACTTCGTTATGACACGTTCTCAAAAACCTATCGCATTAGATATTCGCTGACGTGAGGACCTCTTTCAGGTTCGATGGTGAGGACGAGGGCATGAGCGAGAGGCTGCGGGCCCAGAAGGAGCAGACGAAGACGTGGCTCCAAGAGCAGCAGCAACAGCAGCGACAGCGGCTCCTTCAGGAGAGAGAGAGAGACAGGTGAGCTGAGTATTGCACACTGGGGCTTCGTATTCCACGCTGTGGCTACATAAATGCTTTCTTTTCTAACCTCATCCCTATTGACAATCTCGTCACATTGCGTTTACTTGAACTGAAGTCAAGCAGCCATCTTTCAAACCAGTTTATACTTACGTGTATCTGACAGAAGACTTTCAGCAGTTCCTTCTCTCATCCTTCTGCTGTACCAGAGTGGAGGAGCTGGAGGCGCTGGAGGCGAGCGAGCGCGCAAGAGAGCTCGCCGAGGCAGAAGATCTGTGCCGGCGCGCTGAGCAGCTGGCTATCGACAAGTACAACGAGGCTCTGGTGGGTGTTGCTTGCCTCATACAGCACCTGGTATATACCAGTTATACCAGGGCCACTCTCAACCATTCTGCGACACCTTTTGTCGTGTTCCTCCTCATGTATGTATGTATGTATGTATGTATGTATGTATGTATGTATGTATGTATGTATGTATATATGGCCGTGTCAGTCTCTTTTCATAAAGCTCTTTGTAAGTGAATGGCTATAGAATTCAAAGGAAAACTTTTAATTTAAACGAAGAAACCTTTTTTTTGTCCTTTAATTGAATAGTAAGTCTGTGGAAAAGCTTACTAAATGATATAGTTCAGTGTAATATTGTGAATTATGTTGGAAAATATAATTGACCAATTATTTATCTCCAAAGCCACATGTTATTCCGCCATTCAAGCTTTGTATAAACAGCGATGTTTGGATATATTGGTCTGTTGCTGATTGATTTGTTTTGTAATCCTTTGTAAGCCGGAGCACCGAGTCGCTTGATTCCCGGAATGTCTTTGTGGCGAGAACATGATTCAAATGCGGGTCTGTCCAGGAGTGAATGGCATCTTATGCTCTCGAGGAAGACATCACTCCACAAGCATCCATATTGAGGCTAATGGTCTTGGGTTACGACAGTATTTGTCTGGCTCTCCACACAGTCGGGTCTGGTGGTGGTGGTGGGGGACCTTGATAACACCGGCGGTGATGTGGCCGACACCTCGCCAGCGTTGACGGCACCGTCTGCGTCCCACACTTCATGGTTTCCCTTGCGACGCGATGCTCACGACTTCCGAAGCCATAGCCTTACCCAGTGAACTAATTTGTGTCCTTCAAGACCTGCTTCGTCTCTCCCTGGACAGAGCAGAGAGAGGGAGAGCGCTCGGTGTGCCCAGCGCCAGGCGGACCTGAAGGCTGAACAACAGGAGTTGAGGAACGCTGTCTTGGGCACCTTCCTGACGGAGGACCCGACCGTCGCGCGGAGTGCTCTCGGCCCCCACCGTGTCATCCCTGACAGGTAGGTCTCCCACGAGTCCCCGCCCCACAGGTGAGTCTCGGCTCTAGGTCGCCACTGACAGGAGGGACTTCCACAGATCAACAACACCCACGGCTATATAGATCGTCCAGAAACCGCCTGGCGCGTGCGGGGAATCAATGGTCTCCACCGCTAGGTAGGTTACCTGGTTATTGGCCTCGGGAAGGATATATAATTGCCAGCCAGAGGCAGGCAACGTCGAGGTGGCGCCCTGAGGCCATCACTGAAGGCAAGGTTATACATCAAAGGACATTACAAATTTAATAAAATGATAATGCGATATGAAATTTGTGTAATGTAATCTGTTTAAAATCTCTATATCTTTATGTCCTGTCTGTCTCTGTCTGTCTGTCTCTGTCTGTCTGTCTCTGTCTGTCTGTCTCTCTCTCTCTCTCTCTCTCTCTCTCTCTCTCTCTCTCTCTCTCTCTCTCTCTCTCTCTCTCTCTCTCTGTCTCTGGAGTCTCTGTCTCTCTCTGTCGTCTCTCTCTCTCTCTCTCTCTCTCTCTCTCTCTCTCTCTCTCTCTCTCTCTCTCTCTCTCTCTCTCTCTCTCTCTCTCTCTCTCTCTGTCTCTCACTCTCTCTCTCTATCTCTCTCTCTCTCTCACTCTCTCTCTCTCTCTCTCTCTCTCTCTCTCTCTCTCTCTCTCTCTCTCTCTCTCTCTCTCTGTCTCTCTGTCTCTCTCTCTCTCTCTGTCTCTCTCTCTCTCTCTCTCTGTCTCTCTCTCTCTCTCTCTCTCTCTCTCTCTCTCTCTCTCTCTCTCTCTCTCTCTCTCTCTCTCTCTCTCTCTCTCTCTCTCTCTCTCTCTCTCTAAAACACTAATAACTCTCCCCCATATATTAAACAGGTGGAAGGGAATGTCAGCGGAGCAGAAGCGGCACATCGCAGACATCCGCGCCCAGCAGGTGGAGGAGAGGAAGGTCAGGGTTTACTGCGATTGGTTCTGGGTTAGGTATGCCTCCAGCCACTCTGGTGCTCGTGTATGTGCCGGCCTCATTACCACCGCTCTCAGCCTCCCACGGCACACACACACACTCTCTCACACATGTAGGCGGGACCCGGCAACTGGAGATCATCCTTTGAGGGATAGTGGAGGCGATGGAGGTTGATTTAGTAGGGGGGGTAGTGGTGAAGTAGTGGGGGGCGGCAGTGAGTCAACATATGTGACTTTGCGGTCTGGCAGGGAATCGATTTAATCGTTTGAGCGTCCACAAGCAAGGCGTGGGAAAATAATATACACAGCCTGACCGAAAAGGGAGCTGGTCGGCCGAGCGGACAGCACGCTGGACTTGTGATCCTGTGGTCCCGGGTTCGATCCCGGGCGCCGGCGAGAAACAATGGGCAGAGTTTCTTTCATCCTATGCCCCTGTTACCTAGCAGTAAAATAGGTACCTGGGTGTTAGTCAGCTGTCACGGGCTGCTTCCTGGGGGTGGAGGCCTGGTCGAGGACCGGGCCGCGGGGACACTAAAAAGCCCCGAAATCATCTCAAGATAACCATTATATACTTGACGCATCTCCACACTCAGACATGCTGCTCTATTGACCATCATGGGACCAGGCATGTAGACCCCTACCTCTGTACTTCATTCCCTCCCTCACCAGGCTCCTGCTGGTGAGGGAGGGGGGGGGGTTGATTCTTGCTTGCTGTTAGGACTCCTACAAGGCTACGACCGGCTGGGCAGTATACCTGCTCATGAAGAACTGACCAACACAAAAACTCTGACAACATGTTTAGTATTTACCCTTTAGAGTTTAGACAAAATTTACTAATAAATAATAAATGATAATAACCTAATAAATGCTCAATATTTCATTAACAGTAAATCATTTTCTAAAATGTATATATTTAACATGCGACTCTTGCATATTATACATATTACTCGTGTAACCGCTGCAACTTGCTTTGTTAACAACCAGTGCGGTTCAACTTCTGGTCGAGTTAGTGTTCTGTAGACCATTTTGTTCCTGCTACTGACACCTCCACCACCACTCCCGCGACCACAGCATCGCCAGGAGCTGGAGGCGCGGGACGCCGGCATGTGGGAGGCCGTGGCCGCCCGGGCTGACCGCGCAGGGCTCCTCATCTCTCACTCCGAGCAACTCCATCGTAGGTAAGACCATTGTTCTTTGGTTCCATCTCTAGGTAAAGAATATCGCTTGAATAAAGAACTTAAAGTGGGGGGGGACATGATCAAGATATACATAATAATTAAGGTGATATTTGTTCAGTGAATGTGCAATATGTTTAGGATGAGTATCAAGAGGACAATACATGGAAGCTAAACATATTGATAAGCCACTAGAATGTGAATAACGTTTCTTAAACAAAACAAAAAAGTAGTTGGATTGAATATGAAGAGGTTAGAAACAGGCAGCTGAAATAGCGGGGCCCAGGAGCTGAAGCCCAAAACATACATACACACACACACACCACACACACACACACACACACACACACACACACACACACACACACACACACACACACACACACACACACACACACACTGCAAAGACTATTAGCACGTCCTTCGCTTCGAATCTGCCGCGGATATAGAAGGGATCAGCGTCCCATCTCCTAAATCCTGGACAACTAAAACTTTTTAGGGGATCCGTGAGTGCTCGGCTGATGCTCGGCATGATCAATGGATCGGAACCCATTTGTGCAAGTATGATGGGGAGTCACGGCCGTCTTCCTCGCCATACTCAAGCTTCTCTCTCTCTTATTTGTGCTCCTTCAAGTCTTAGTTCTGCTCTTCCTCCTCCGCCAGAAATGCAGGTGTGGGAGATCAACCCACAGACCTGCATCCTGCTCCTCTTAACCAGAGCGTAACACCATAGTCTCCTGAGACTGATGGATGTCTACTACTATTGTATTATTATATTTATGTTGTATTTTGTATTATATTGTTATAGACGAAATCATAGCATCATGGAACTCATAAACTAATTAGTATACAAAAACAAGACCATCATCATCGAAGAGGATTAGAGCTCGTATGTGGACTTGTAAGTGCTTCGTGAATACTAATCTTGGTTGTAAAAAGTTGGGGAAATTTAAGGGTTTTGTTTGAAGTTAGTGATACATGTTATACGTCTTTGTCTTGTGATTTTCTTTACCCTGTGTTTCTTAGGGGGTTGCTTTGTTATTGTTTCTCCCTCCTTCTCTTTACGTGACTCTATTTGAAGGGAAGGATACTATGATAAATTATATGATAATATATAAAAAAGACACTGTTACAAGCACTGTAATAGTAATGATGATTCCTCTCTTCCTGTGTTTGTGTGGGTGGGTACTTGTGTACATGTGTGTGCATGTCTGCTTGTGTGTGTGTGTGTGTGCATGTCTGCTTGTGTGTGTGTGTGTGCATGTCTGCTTGTGTGTTAACAGGAGCCTGGAGGCAGAGGTGAGGGAGACTAACCTGCGCCTGGCGGAGGACCAACGATCGGAGCAAAGTCGTCTCAACCACCTTCTGACTACCAACGTTCCCACCGACCACTTTTACAGCAAGTTTGGCGGCCACCCTCGCTAGCGTCTCCCATCCCACCGCTGCCACCATCATCATCACCGCCTACTGTGCCCACCGTGATGAATAGAATCTTCAAGATTGCTATTTCTTTTGTTCTTATCTACACGTTTCTCTCTCTCTCTCTCTCTCTCTCTCTCTCTCTCTCTCTCTCTCTCTCTCTCTCTCTCTCTCTCTCTCTCTCTCTCTCTCTCTCTCTCTCTCTCTCTCTCTCTCTTTCTTTGGTCCCTTGGATTGATAATTTAAGATACAATCTCTCATTCATAACTCAATCTCATTGTTTATAGCACCAACATGCGATATGAAACTTTCAGGACCAAAGAGCTGGAGCTCAACCTCTGTATAAGCACAATTAGTTGAGCAGATATTCCTCCCAAAGTCTCGTATCACACATACTTAAGCATTCTTCTCTCAATAAGCACAGTCAATGAATATCTTTTGTACTTGTTTCTCATTTGTCATGCACTGTGTATATGTATGTCCTTATGTTTGAAATATGTATTAGTATTACATACCTCTCATTGTATAAATCTTCCAAGTTACTACAATTATCATTCAATCCTGTGACGCCACTCAAGCTACACACAGCTTAACACAGACGTACCTGAATTTAACTCAGAAACTTAATAAAATGACAAACTTAGCCAAAATGACTAAATATTTGCCTTGGATTTTTAACATTATTTTTGTCAACAAATTAATGCTAAAATCTACGACAAGTCTCCGGCTTCCTCAGCTTGATGAGCCACTTCATGCTTGTAATTGTGATAAAAAAAACTCGTGAGCATTAATCTAGCATTTACCTCCTGCTTACTCCACCTTGACCACCTGTGGACGCATAAGATCTTCAGTAACCTCGGACATAACCAGCTCGTCCTCTGGAAGGTGGTGAAGGGTAGGGAAGGTGGTGAAGGGTAGGGAAGATGGTGAAGGGTAGGGAAGATGGTGAAGGGT